GCGCGCATCTCGACACCTACCCAATACGCCTTAAACAGAGCCGGATTGATCCGGTGCAGTGTCACCCGGAAATACGCGCGCAACTCTGCCCTCTCCTTGTTCTCATGTATGCCGTCATACCTTTGTGCACTCGAAGGGCGGGGTGATATTTTGCCGTGGGTGGCTGCTGCGTCAATCACATGTTGAAATGTCTGAGGTTCTCTGACCATACCAACTATGGTGGAACATTAATGCGGCGAAGCATGCACCATGGTCAAATGAGTTGCTGCTGCCAGCAAGGCATTGTCCTCCACTATGACAAGTGTCTCCCCACTGGCAGCTTTCTACTCAATAGTCATCTTTCTACTCGACAGTCGTCTTCGAACCACGATGACCCATCATTGCTCCGGTACCGGAAACCGCACATGCAACGGGACGACAGATACTTGCAACGACCACAACTGGCCATGCACGGGTGGTCGAGACGGAGTACCGGTTCACATCTTGGTACGGAATAATAAACGAAAACCCTGTTCTGCCGAATGGTTTACCACCCACGAATGGGAGGAAATGATCGTCGATGCACAAGGCAAGAAGGTTATTGGAGAGGATGGCAAGGTCAAGATGCGGAAGGTTACGGAAGTGCGGATGCACAGGTGCGGGCTAAGGTGCCCGGGTGAGTGCACATGTCATCGCTCTTAGGGCATCCTGTTGATATGCAGTCATAGTGTGAGACGACATCCTTACCCGCCGTTCTGCCCGCATCTGCCACATCCCGCATCACGTGGGTTTGTATACGCTCTAGCTCATTGGCTTGGTTCTCCCTCATTGTCGCTGTGTTCCGCTGGGGCTGTTGGTGGAAGCTGGTGTTTTTTTCCCCGCAACTTGTAATAGTAGAACTACTTTTCGTCCGCCTACGAAATGTTGTCTGTACTGTGCTACTTCAGGCCACATGTTCAGCGCTTGTCTGGCCATAACCCTCTTCCAAGAGTTCCCTCTGAACAGTCTCCCATTCCTGTCCGCCCCACTTCTCCAGCTCCTTGGGGGTCATCACCTCCAAGTTGTTCACGCGCCACCACTTGCCCTCACGAGATGCAGTCGACGTGAATGTGGCATAGTTTGCGAGCCAGAGTCGCGTGTTGCCCGGATACGGCGCTGCGAGTGCGAGTCGAATAGCGCGCATCTCGACACCTACCCAATACGCCTTAAACAGAGCCGGATTGATCCGGTGCAATGTCACCCGGAAATACGCGCGCAGCTCTGCCGTCTCCTTGTCCTCAGGTATGCCGTCATGCATATAATCGCCCGGCTCGTATGGGTCACCAAACATACCTCCGGTACAGCGTTGCGCGTCTTCGTTCCACCGGTCTGGTGCAGTGGCCGCCTCCAATTCGGGCACCAGCCCCGAGTTCTCCCAATCCAGAAGGGCCGTGACCCGTCCATCCTCTGAGACCAGAATGTTGCGCCCCTCGAAATCGCCGTGAGAGAGATGGGAACGACTTGATGAGCGAGACCAAGGAAGAGAACGCCGGCGCCACCGCGCAACCAGTTCCAACACTTTCTTTCCAGCTCCGCGGTGAATAATCTTGTCGGGCCGTGTTGGGGGAATGCCGAGAAATGCGAGTGCCGACAGCCACTCGTCCTCGTCCTTGAAAGGTCCGCAGTTGTCGACCGGAGGGCAGCCTGATGTGGCGTGAACAAAAACAGTATCGTGGCAAGGCCCAACGATGAACGCGTCTGCATGGTCGAACTTGCACAGCAGTCGATGGACCTTGCGCGGCCTTTTGAGGCCTTCGTACACGACTGTTGAGAGCGCAATACCGTCCTCATCGTTCGCTGGTAGAACGCTGCCGATGCGTTCCGATGTGATACGGTATATATCAGACCAAATCTGTACCAGATCCCGTATGACGCGCTTCTTCTTGTCCATGGTAAATTCAGGGCTATCGAACACGTCATCCAGTCGCTCTCCCGCCATATATTCCATGAGAATCCACTCTGCACCGACGGGATTATCCGACGCCGTCAAAGAACACTGGTACACCTTAGGTACCGGCACGTTCCTAGCTGTATTATCTAGTCAACACCCAGCATGCCCTGTTGGCGGAGGGACCATGCACACCTCGTACTAGGTTCATCACAGCAGCCTCTGCTTTCGTCTTCCAATAGGGCTGCCTGGGGTAGATGACACGTGCGACCAGGCTCATAGGCTCGCTCCCTCGCCCTGGTACAGTATATCGGTAGATCAAAGCTGACGAACCGACCCCGATCAGTTCGCGTGTCAA